ACCTCTGACCTCGGCTCTTGCTGGAACGTCGCCATGGCGTCCACCTCCGACCCGCAGAATGAGCTCCGCTTTGACAAGGAGCTGTTCAGGAAGGAGTTGCAACGATTGGTGGACGATCATTCCCTTGACAACTTGTTTGATGCTCGAGTAGCTCATTTGTTGGATGAGAGTCAGGGCGAAGGCGAAGCGGATTGGAGGTCAATGCGAGCCGAATATCGCCTGCCTACGCTCAAGCACGCCGGTGTGCCAGGCGGCAGTGATGGTGAGTGTGGGGTCAGCAGATCCGAGTAGGCGATGCTGTTTTGCTAAGCCTCGCACATTCCACACTTGTTCTCCAGAGCCAGCCATATACCTTTGCGGCAACTCTCTGGGACCGATGACAAAGAGGACCGAGCTGTACGTACAGCAAGAACTCGATGCCTGGGGCCAAAAGGCCGTCTTGGGTCACTGGGATCATCCGCATGGCCGACCTTGGACAAGGTGCGAGGAGCGGATAGGCAGAATCATGAGTGACATGGTCGGTGAGTCGGCAGACGCAGCATTCATGCGCATGTGCTGGGACGCTCTAGGGCTCACTCAGGCATCGGGCTCCGCATTCATCCAGGCGCCAAGCCATCCGAAGTCATCGTCATGTCCACCTTGACCGCCAACTTACACAGTATGCTGGCCACGTTCTACCGACCTGGCAAGCAGCTGCCGCAGAGTGGCTGGAGTGCGCAAGCATCGCCCAGTGTGTGCGCGAATTACAAGCGCCGCACCAAGATCCTCTACGAAGCCAAGGCTTTTCCGTCGGATCAGTACGCTTTGGCTAGCGCAGTCGCTTTGGCTGGAGAGGATCCCAAGGCAGCCCTAGTGCCTTTGCATGCTCCCTCAGGTAGCGACACCATAAGTACGGAGGACATCCTACGAGCACTAGAAGTGCATGGCGACGAAGTGTCCATGATCATGCTTGGTGGGCTGCAGTATATAACTGGACAGCTCTTCGATCTGCCTCGCATCACTCGACGAGCTCACGAGTTGGTGAGACCCTAACCTCACATCAAGTCGTGAGCTTGACGCTGACTTCCTGCGCATCGACCGCGTTCGCAGGGCATACTAGCAGGATTTGACCTCGCGCACGCCTTTGCCAACGTCCCTCTTGCATTGCACGACTGGGACGTCGATTTCGCAGTCTGGTGCACGTACAAGTATGGGTCTTCTGGACCTGGCGGCATTGCCGGCGCTTTTGTACATGAGAGATGGGGTGACATTGGTATGCGAACCCATCTTGATCGGCCCGGCGCGTACGAAGGAGCCGAGGGCTTACTTAGGTGAATTTGCGCTCGCCCCTGCTCTTCGCGTGTTGATGGTCTGGCTTACGATTCCTCCTATAAATCGAACTCTCTAGACCGGCTGGCTGGTGGGGACATGAAAAGAGCACCCGCTTCAGCATGCCAAACTCTTTCCGCTCGATGAAGGGAGCAGCGGGTTGGCAGCTATCAAACCCTTCTGCACTAGATGCTGCGGCTTTGCTAGGCTCTCTGGAGACGCTGGCTCAGGTCGTCAAGGGTCAAGATGTGGGAGGGGTAGAGTGGGCGGACAAGATCGAGTCTATTGAAGGCACCACTGCCATTGGCAAAGGTCAAATCATGCCACGTCTCAGACCTAGGTCAGCGAGACTGACCGCCTACCTTGAGCTGCTACTGCTGGAACATTTCATCCCAAAGCAAACGCAAGTGCGGATCATCACCCCCGCAGACCCGAGCCAACGCGGCTCGATGTTGAGTCTGCGTATTCCGGACGTCACAAGTGCCGATCCCAAGTTT